TTATCTGTCCACTTCTGACTGTCTTCGCAGCTACCATCCTGGTCCACACCACCATCATCTCTCAGCTGGATTATTGTAGCTTTGCCAATGACCTACCTGCTTCTGCCTTTGCTGTCCACCACAGTGCTGTCTCAATAAGGCTACCAGAATGATCTGTTTCTTTCCTCATAATTCTCGTGACTTTTAGTTTCAGTCAGAGTAAAAAGCTAAAAAGTGTTAGGATCTGTAAGGCCCTCCATGGTCCGTCCCCTGCCTGTTAGCTCTCTGTCCTCACCTCTTCCTACCTTCTTGCTAGGCCACTCTTCTTTATCACACGGGCCTCATTGTTGTTACTCAGAGATGCAGGCTGGCTTCATTCCAACTATGTACCTGCTGTTTGGTCAGAAATGCTCTTCCCCCAGTTAACTGCATAATGATTTCCTTACCTATTCAAGTAGTTACTCAAATATACTTTTTTGTTTTGTTTTGTTTTTAGATTTTATTTATTTGACAGAGAGAGAGAGCGAGAGCGTGCACACACAGGCAGGGAGAGTGGCAGGCAGACAGAGAGGGGTGAGGGGAGAGGGAGAAGCAGGCTTGCCGCTGAGCAGGGAGCTGGATGTGGGCGTCTGTCCCAGGATCCTGGGATCATGACCGGAGCCGAAGGCAGACTGAGCCACCCAGGCGCCCCTCAAATATACTTTGTTAATGAAGCTTTTCCTGACTATGTTTTTAAAAAATGAGTCCTCTCCAACCCAGCATTTTCTGTACTCCTCCTGTTTTCTCCATAGTAGGAAATAAACCATCAAATACACTGTATATTCTAGTTTATATTGTTTATTGAATGTCTCCAGTGTGGAAGATGAAATGCACAATACAATTGAGATGATTTTAATTCAGGCTATTACAATATGGAGAAAATTCATTAATGAGAAACATCTCAGGGAGAAAACCAAGGGGTTTTATAGGGACAAGTAAACAAGGGAATCATGAAGAGGATGGAAGTGACTTTTAACTGGGATTTTGTGAGGGCTGGTTGGTCCTTTGCAGTTGGTCATTTGTCAGAAGACAAAACAGGACTGGGAGATTTTTCAGTGTTCCTTGCTTTCCTTGAGCACAGGGCTCAGATAAATTTCAACACAGTCTACTACGAATAGAATTTAAGCCCCAGGAGGCAAGACTCCTATCTGTTTTGTATATTGATATGTTTTCAATACCTAGCAAGTGCTAAGAATTCAATAAATGTTGAACAGATGGATAAAGGAATGAATTTAAAATGGTATTCACCTTAGGCCTCCTGTCTGCTGAAGAATGTGATTATACCAATGTGGAATTGGACAGCTGCTGTAAGTAGCTTCATAAATGAGATGAGACTACATGGATTATCATGTATTATCATTCTCTTCCATAGAGTTCTATATATAAAATCTTAACAGGTTGTGAAGAAATGTTCCTTAGGATTTCTTATGAAGTGAGAGTCAATTTAAATAATGTCTCCTGTTCTGAAATCTCTTACGACGTTGGATTTTATCTGAAGGCAGTGTGATTCAGTAGTTTAAATGATCAGATTTATGTTTTAGGATAAACTTAGTGTGGGCAGACTTCTGAAGAAGTGACTGGAAGGGAATTGATCACTGGTGGAGATCCATTAGGGAGCTGTCACTGTAATTGAAGTGGGAAATGAAGTTGGGTTAGGCAGTGGAAGCAGGAATGGATAAGGAGTTAGACTTGCCTGGATTTTTGGGTCAAAGTGAAGTTTTAGTTATCCTAAATCTAGCAGAAATGCTTCAAGTTTGTAATCTTTATTAAGTACCCTCAGCTTTATAACTTTGTATTCTTTATGCCTTTGTAACTTCCCCTAAACTCTGCATATTTCTAAATTATTAATAAAGCTCTTAAAATGGGAAGGGTTTGTGCATTTACCTTTGGTCAAAATAATCAAAACCATGAGGGGAGAGGGAATGGATGGAGAGAAGATGAGATGCTAGAGACAAAGCATTAAATATACAATGCCTTTGGGCATTATCCGAAAGACAGTATGAAAATCTTAACATTTTAAAGGAGTAATATATAAAATTATCATTTTAGGAAGATCACTGACAAGTGGGGAGGTTGAGATACAATGGCAGCTTTTAGAGTCAGTGTGTCTACGGTGGGGCTCAGAAATTTACTTTTTTAAAATTTTGCTTTAATTGCAGTGCACCCAACTTTTTGAGAATTGCTGACTTAAAAGAATTCTTTAGTAGGGCTGTGAATTTTACTGATTCAAACTGTTTCTCTGGTGTTGTGGCTGGTAGTCTTTTTCTCATTTGGGATACATGTCAAACTTGTTCTTCCTTCAAGTTGAGTAAACAAAGAATTAAACTGGGGCCTAATTTAAGTGGGCTCCTTGATTTGAAAAACTCACATATGCTAAAGTTGTTCCAATTTAGCAATGTATATAACTTTATTTTGAAATGTTGTCTTTGTTAATTTCATCACCTGACCTATTAGATTACTTTGTTACAAAACAAATGCTAGGAACTGTTTAAAAGAACTGTTTAATGAAAATTACCAAGAGGAGGGTAGGAGATAATATACATTAAATATCTCTGATTGGGTTTGGTAACCCACAAATTTTGGAAGGTTATTAACAAAATAAAGCACTGGTAAGTCTCGGGTGAGATGGAGCAGCAGTGAGAATGTGAGCTTATAGAGGAGGTTAGAATCTTTCACATGATGAAAAAGTATGCTTTTTAGACTTCAGCCAGTTTTCTTTATCCCACTTCTTTTCCGTATAGAATGGGTTTTCCAACTACCCAGTCACTTAAACCAGAAACCTGGGAGTTATCCTACCAACACTCTCTCCCTCCTCTATATTTGGTTATTCAGTTCTTTAAAAAACAATCTTTCATGTCTTCTAAAATCTTTTCACCCCTTCCCTTCTCCTTTGTTCCCTCCCACTCATCAGTCCTGGTTAAATGGAGGTGCTCCTCTTCTCTGGGGAGTATTGTGCTGATGGCTTGTATCCTGCAGGTCTAGGGCTCTTTAATTGCTTCCTCATCTTAATACATGCACTTTTAAAGATTCATATCTGATTTTCTTTTAATATTCCACTCATACTAGATTAATTGCCTTGCTTAGAACTTTCATATTTAATTTTTCTCCCTTTGTTTTTGCTCTGTAATGCTTTTTCTGTTCTTTTGGGGAATCCTTCCAGTGTCTTTTTTTTTTTTTTTTTAAGATTTTATTTTATTTGTTTGACAGAGAGAGAGAGCACAGGAGAGGGAACAGTAGAGGGAAAGGGATCATTTTTTTTTTTTAAATGGGGAAATAGTACTTTTTGTGTTCTCTCTTTTTAAATGTTGGCAACTAATTCAGGTAAAAAAAAATGCTCTCTTGGATGTCTTAAACATTGCAACCTCATTTATAAAGCCTTTTTTGACCATTCTCCTTTCCTCCTGCTCAGTCTTTGTGTAGTCTCATATGTTAACCCGTAATTTTCAGATTGTTATAAAAGACTTCAAGTACAAATAGTAACATATCAAAAGGTTTTTTTAAACTCATAAAAACTGGTTCAATGAGGAATTGGGAGTTATATAGTCCATTTAATAAGGAATGCTGAAATAAAATTTCTAAGACATAAAAATTGGTTAATACCCTGTAGGGTATGCAGACTATAGCCTTTGGGGTAATCTCTACTGGAAAAAAAGACATTGCACTGTAATAGTTTACCTTTAAATTTATAGTTATAAACTTCATGGGCCCTAATCATAAGTAGTAAAGCAAGTAATTGAATGACTTCAGGTGAACTTACTAGAAAATGCTCTAACATGACAGTAAAAGTCATACAATCATCTTTATATCTTATTTTAGATTTTGAATAATTTGTTTGAAAACATGCTAATTTTTATATCGTTAGTGACCAAGCATCTTCTCATTTTATTTTATTATTATTTTTAGGGGGGAGTAGGGGCAGAGGGAGAGAAAGAATCTTAAGCAGGCTCCATGCCCAGCATGGAGCCCAACGTGGGGCTTGATCTCATGACCCTGAGTTCATGACCGGAGCTGAAATCAAGAGTCTGATGTTTAACCGACTGAGCCACCCAGGTGCCCCAGCACCTTCTCCTTTTAAAACATTAATTTTTCTGGAATCACTAATGGAAGATTTAGACCAATATTTTTTGCCTTGTTCTAATTTGAACACTGGTTCCATATTAAATTGTCTGCAGTAGAACTTTCTGTTAGAACACCAACCATCAAGTTGGATTTATGTGTTCTTAGTGTATGTACAATAATAGAAGGATTTATAGGACTTAAATGTATAGAACAAAGCCAGTAAGATACCATTTAATTAGCTTGGTCTTGAAGTTTAAATAGGAGTTTCAGATAGAAAGGGGAAAACAAACCAGATAGAATGACCAGTAGTATATGTGCTGGTTTAGGACTTAAGTTTAGGTTTAGGTTAAGTTTAGGTTTAGGTTAAGTTTAGGTTATTATTGTCAATGACCACAAGTTTCTAACCATCTCTGGTCTTTTTCCCCCTATTTTAATTCAGGTGAAGTATTTATTGCTGACACCGTTATTTTCATAAAAACTGTGATCATGTTTCTTCCCTGCTTGAAAAATATCAATTGCTTCATGTTGCCAACACAATAGACTTCATTTTGCTTGGCCCGGGAGCTCTTCTACTCCCCTATTTGGTCTCTCAACCCTTGATTTACCCACACAGTCAAATTGGCTTTCCTTTCCCTTCAGTTCTGCTTGGCCAAATCCTACATTTTCTTTCAGATTCAGCTTCTTTATTCCTACAGTATGACTGTCTGTACTATTCTAGCTCAGGAGGATATCTTAAAAGTTTGGTTGTGTTTGTTCATACAGGTATGCAGTTATGTCCTGCATGATAAATCTATGGGTGGGTTATCTCAGTTTCTACCTGGAAGGTAGGCAGTAAGCCATATTTCATACTTGGGCACATACAGTGCTTCCTATAGAATTTTTTAAAAATGTACCCAACATGACAACATGTTTTTTATTTGTAGACCTGAAAAATGTCTGAAAATTCCAGTGACAGTGATTCATCTTGTGGTTGGACTGTCATCAATCATGAGGTATGCTATTTAATACTTTTTTTTTTAAGATTTTATTTATTTATTTGACAGAGAGAATCACAGAGAGAGAGGGAATACAAGTAGGGGGAATGGGAGAGGGAGAAGCAGGCTTCCTGACGAGCAGGGAGCCCGATGCGGGGCTCCATCCCAGGACCCTGGGATCATGACCTGAGCCGAAGGCAGACGCTTAACGACTGAGCCACCCAGGAGCCCCTATTTAATACTTTCTATAAGGACATTTGTAATACTACAGTATATCACCTGAGTTTTTTGAAGGCCAGTATTTTTCTACATTGAAGCCTGAGGTTCCATGGTCTATAGCTTGGACATTTTCCCCACCCACATTGAACTTCACTGCTGAAACTCTTCATGAGACAGTGTCTTCTGCATTATTGTACGTTGCTTTACTTGGCTTTGAGACATTAGGCAAATTATTTATTGAGGGTTTATTTTTGTTTAGGCCCTGTACTTTTACCTACATTCTCATAGAATTTATACAACCTCTGTGGTATAGATTATTTGCATTCTCATTTTGTAGTTGAGAAAACTAGAGCTTAGAGAAGTTAAGTAATTTGGCCAAGATTATGTAACTAGAAAATATCAGAGCCTGCATTTAAACAGACCAGAAAGGAACATGGGGAACATGTGTTCTACTTTGGATATGTTATGCTACCTTATGTTACTAACAGAACTTGATTGAAAAAGGACTATGGCTAGAAGGCTTTCAAAAGAGTTTTATTAAAGAAGTGTGATGTTATATGACTAGTATATAATAAGCATTAATTTATTTTCCACACTGGTAATATATGTTCATTGTGGAAAAATCATAAAAATACTGATGAGTAGAAGCAATAAGTTAAAAATCATCTGTATCTATTTAAAGTTTCAATGGATTTATGTATAGTTTTCCTATTTGTTTTTAGGATCTCTTAGGCCTTGACTTGTTTTCCTTGATTAATACAAATTTTAAGTGGTAATTTTTTAGAATGACTTTGATAATTTAAGATTTAGACAGTTGGTTACTCATGTCTTCTTAAAATCAACATTAGCTAAAAAGCGATTTTTTTCTGCAATAAAATTTGAAAATTTAATAGCATCTGTACCAATTGAGATAGGGGTGGTTTCTTTTTTCTTTTTTTAATAAGTGATTTTTCTATTTTTAACGTGTTTTCTACAAAGCGTAGATCAACTCCCATAGCAATAACTTTTCCTTCAAGGATAATTAACAGTATAGGAGTAAGGAAGCTGTGGGAGTCTTACTTGGGATTCTGCACTGTGAAGCAAGACAGGAAACCTCTCTGGCACTTAGCCAAGTATGTCATTAGAATATTCAGTATTAGAGATATCTTGTCACAGAGTAGATCATATTTGTGTTTTTATCCCTCTTCCTTCCATATCTAGTTTTCAGGTTCTACTGCTAATGTCTCTTACATGTGTTCCCTTTTCCTTTCTCGTTGCCACCATTCTGTTTTAGGTCAGCATTGGCCTCCTCTGTAGTCCCCAATTCAGCCCTCACCTTGCCTGTTTCTGTGATTTTCCTGCCACTTTAGGCAACCCCAGAGTCTTAACATTCAGAGTTCTCTTTAGGATTCAACTCAAAACCTACTCCTTTGATGAATTCTTTTAATTTTTGCTGTTTCGAGTTCTATTCATTAGGAGAACTTAGACCTTTCGATTACATGGATCAGTAAACTACAGAAAAGATTGGGAGAGGGGCATGGGGACAAGCAGAAAGAGCTTAGTGGCTAACTTTATTTTGCTAATGAAGATATGAGGAGAAAAAACTGTAAGATCCACTGTTTTATTACACAGAAGACAGTCTGACATCAAAGTAGGAAGGACAACCTTGGAAGAATAAAGAATACTCTATAAAGTTTTATAGGGAAAGTTTACTCCATTAATCCTATAGGTTCATTTTAATCCTTGCCCTTAGACTTTTTTATTTCTACATTGTCATAGTAAATAGTTATTTGCATGTGGAAATTTCTCTGAATAGGCTGTAAATTTGAATTTTGGATCTGAACTTTTTATACCTCATAACACATAGTGAAGTGCCTTGCATAGTACCTTCATAAATGTTGAGTAAAAGTAAAATAATAGAAATAGCTAAAGTTTAGTAAAAACTTACCCTTTGGCATCAAATTTATTGCTTGGGCTTATAAATAGAGTAGAGCATTTGACTTTTGGCTTACTTCTCTTAGAATCCAAGCCTGCGATTCCATTCTGCCATTTCACTGCCATAGGCCTTTATGGACTAAATTGAATAAAAGGTAGTCAGATTAGGTACTGTTCTCTTTGGAGAATGGCAGCATCTAGGACTTTTGACTGGTGGAAGTATCTACACGTAGTCATATCCAGCTTTGAGCAGCTGATAGATATATAACTGATTATTGCTTTTTCTGTAGGGGTCTGATATAGAGATGGTGAATTCTGAACATGGTACAGCCAGTAACAGCTGTGAGCTCGCTCCAGAATGTACATCTTTAGAGCAAGAGGAGCAACAAGTATTGCAGTCAGAGCAGGGAGGTAAGATACTAAAAAGAGTCTGATTTTTTTTTTTTTTAATAATAGGGTATGTGAACGACAGTATGAATCTTGCCTTTTTTCTAGGTGGGCAGCCTTTCTAGCTAATCTAAATGATCAGGTCACTGAATGACTAGAATATTAGTGTGGATTAGGTAGTGTTACCAACCTGCCCAGGGGTTTGCTTATTTGCAGCTGTAGTATATATTTGGGCCTCCGTATAACTCTTTCATACTATAAGTGTAACCAGTAACTAAATATTACTAATCTTGATTAAGACTAGTGATATACAAAATAATTAATCATAAGGGATTTACTAAACTCAGATTCTCTAGTTATCATCACGCTTCAAATTACTTTTGGTTAGAGGTGGTAAAAGGCATTTAACTGCTGTACTCTTCATTTTTAAATTACCTCTTAAACTTTTTTTAAAAACCGCATTAAAATGTAAACAGAACATTTCCTCAGGAGAATAAAGTGGATGTGTCATAGCTAGAAATACGATAGATTATACCTGTTAATCTTGTTTTCATCCTATGTATTGATTATTCTCATTTGAACAGTGATTCTCATCTTTGATCAGTCAGAGATCTCCTTGAGAATCTGAAAGCTGTGGATGGTTTCTCCCGAGAAATACACATACTCACATATGTAAAAGTACTTCCAAACTTCCTTGGGAGTCCTTGGACCCAAGTCCATCTTTGTTGAAGAGTCTTAATTTCAGATTAATATGCTGTTAGGGTCTTTGTAACACATACAAATGGGGTAGTTTTTCTTGTTTTTTCTTCTGTTTTTTTGGAGGTGCTAAATTATATGAGAAAAATACACATTCATGACAGAAAAAAATGATGAGCAAAAAAAATTTTAAGTCACCTTTAGTTCTTTTTACCTGGCAGTAACTGCTATTAGCCATTTGGTGTGTGTTCTTTGCTATGCGTAAAATTTATGTTTATCATATTGTTTTAATTTCAATTAATTTTATAGCCTTTTTCATTAAAAATATAATTTTATGACCTCTAGTTTTTTTGTACTTTTTTTTCTTTGAGGAGTTTCTTATAAAATATATCCGCTATAGTGATATTTTCTTGTTTTTCTGTGTTCTTTTGAATCCTTGTTTTATATAGTCCTTTTTATTGCAAAGAATTCATAATTTGAAGCTATAGTTTTGTTTCTTGTGTTACTAGTCATTAGAATAGTGCTACTTTTAGAAATTCAGGAAATGTACCATCAGATGTCTGAAAATTGGTTTTCCATAATAACAGGTTTTTACAGACACCCTGGATTCAGGACTTTGGTATTGTAAAGTAGAGATTATGTTTACTTAGAGATTTATGTATTTTTTTTTAGTAGCTACTAAATGAATTCAGTATCTAAAATTATCCTGACAATTTCAAATAATGATATTTGAAATACAGAGATCTTTTTAGCAACGGTTTGCAGTTTCAGTTAAGAGAAATATTTCTGAGGAGTATTTTTATCTATTGCTATCTCTACTGAAGGAATGAATTATTTCAGTAAAGAAAGTGTTATATAAAATAATTAAAAAAACATTTTGGATTATGTTGAAAATACTGTATATAAATCAATTGCCAGAGAACTTTTTAGCAATGGTAGTGTATGTGACATTTAATTAGATCCACTTTAAAAAATTAGGACTAGATTTTATGTACTCAGATTATAATCTGTGTGGACTACAAAAACTCAGTTGAGCGTAATTGATTGACTTGATCTTTGCTTTATATCAGAGAGTAGCCAGAATGGCACAGTGTTAATGGGAGAAACTGCTTATCCAGCTTTGGAGGAAACGAAGTCAGCACTTGAGGTAAACTTGTGTTGTACTCTGTGGACATACGATAAGCAATATTCCTTAGTGAATACTAAGGAATAATTAAAGCTTCCATTTCTAGTTGTGCATTCTTTTCCTCTTTGAATTATAAACAACTTTTATTAAAAATTTTGATTCCACAGATTGGTCACTTTTATGATTAGAGTTAGCTTCTGTCTTACAAACTCCTAAGTGAGATGTCTTTTAATTTACCAAAGTAATTACAAAAGTAATTTCTATTCATTTACTCTCTAATAAAATTTTTTTGGGAAATAGATCGCATTCTTGAATTATATTGAGAAATTAATTTATTAGGGTTTATCTAAAAAGGAAGATTCGTTTTTAAATTTGAGAACAAACTAAATCTTGTTTTTTGATGTTTTACTTGACTTCTGGATAAAACAAGATTAGATGATTTTTACATGGCATAGCTGTTGAAGTTTATTACTTATATAACCAGAGAAATTTGTAATCAGTCTTATGGGCTTCCCGACTACAGAGTTAGGCTCAAATAAACCCATGGAATTAGTGAGAAATGAATCCTCTCTTTTTATGTTGTCCTTGGTTTTTAAAGGTGAGTTTGTCAGCTTCTGCAGCCTACAGTGATTAGGCACATTGATCTAATGCCTACAAGGATTAGTTTGATCTAATTCTGAGAGAATCGCCAAGGGGTTTGATGGTGTTTTCATACTAAAAGATGAGCCTGCTATTGTAATCTTTGTCTTTTGGTCAGGACTCCTCTATCTTTTATTTTAAGCCAAAATTACCATACTACTTAAGTACTGTTGTATACTTTGAGCTACATAGAAAATATAAGGGTCTTAAATAATTGTTAAATTTACTGTCTTTAAAATTATTCCTCAGAGAGAAGAAGAAAAGTCATCTGAAGACAATGTCTATTTTGGAACTGTCAGTGATGATTCTGATATTGTTACCCTTGAGCCACCTAAGTTAGAAGAAATTGGAAATCCAGAAGCTCTAATTGTTGAAGAAGCACAGAGTCCAGAAGACTTTAACATGGGCTCTTCTTCCAGCAGCCAATACACATTCTGCCAACCAGAAACTGGTAAGAGCTGTGTAAAGAATACACTGATAGAGACTCAAGGTCTCCTATGACCACATTTTATATAATGGCCAAGTTTTTAATATATTTGAGATTTTTTGTAAAATCTACTGTTCTATCTAGTGTTTTCTTAGATTGTAGGTCCTAGAGCAGAATTGCTATAACAATAAATACCGTCTTTTACTAAGTAAACGATGAAAAAAAGATCTTCAAGGAGCTTTGTTATTATCTGAAACACTCTGAAATGCATTTGATATATTTTAGATATTTAAGGGTGGAAGATTGAGCCATTATAACTAAAAGTAGGAGAAAGTTAAGATTTCTACTTAAAATGGTACAAATTTTATATTCTAGAAATTGTGAAAGAAGCTTCTTATTGAAATCTGTTAGATCCTTTCAACTATTAATCATTTAACAAACATTTATTGAATGCTACTTAATGTGCTAAACAGAGTTCAAAGAGCTGGCAGTACTTCAGTATCCCAAAGCCCCTGACCTTTGTATCTTTCATTTTAGATTGAGTTATGAAAGTGTGCCTATTTTAAGTCACGTTATTAACGCACTTAATGCCTACTGTTCAGACAATGATTTGGAGGTTAAAATGTGAGTTCCTGAGCTAATTCCTTTCTATATTTCTTTGACTCAGCTTAAGGGATGTATATAACATCTTTCAAGGTGGACATAAATATTTAGACACAAAGTTACTAGGAAATAAAAGAATCAAAGCTATCATTAACTCACAGTTATTAACCAACCCTTGTAACTCAGGGATGAATTGAGAGAAAGACAAGTTGGAACACTGCTAGTGATTCCAAAATTTCCTAATTTGATGCAAAAATAAGGACGTGTTTATTTCAGGTCATTTTCTTAGAGTTTACCATTCTTTAATACTTAACATTTGCAAGAATCAGACAATGGAATTTCTGTTATTCCACTTCAAGCTAATAAAATGTCAAGTAGAGATTTTTACCTATCTCAATTTAATGGCAAGTTATTTTCAATTAGTGTATCAGATTGCCTATAAACAGGAGCTTAAAAACACTTCATTCAAATATTTAAATACTCACCTGGCATTCTCAGTGGTCAGCCTTTGCCAGAATGGTTTATATAGTGTATTTATTACGAGGACTAACAAATTGACTTTAGAATCTTTTTGTTTATCAAATTTTATTTGTTTAAATCCAGGATTCGCGCTATATTCAGGTAGTCTTCTTTCTTTCCTTCTTTCCTTTATTTTTTTGGAAGACTATAGATGCTGGTTTAATTTGAGAATATTCATGGGCCAGAAAAAGTAGTCACATTGAAGCAGGAGTATTGCAGAAGGGTCCAAGCAGACATTTAAGAAATTGATCCTACAAACTTAATTTTCTCAGGAACTTGGACACTTCAGAGCGCATTATTCTGGTTTTTATCTCCTTTCTGAACTTGGACTTCTTGGGGATTTTACAGTTTCAGTTAAGAGAAATATTACTAGGAGTATCTTTATCCATTGCTATTTGTCCTGAAGAAATGAATTATTTCAGTAAAGAAAGTGTTACATAAAATAATTTTAAAAAATTGAAAATATATAAATCAATTGCCAAGAGTCTTCATTCTCTCTCACCTATTTTTTGGTTTGTTAATCCCCTACTACCCATTGCCTGGGTATTTTGATTTTTCCTTTCCCTTCTTCTCCATCTCTGTAGAATTTCAAGTTTTTTCTTCTTCTAAATTAGATTCTTGTGGCAATATACTCTTTGTTCATTTAAGAAAGCTATCCACTACCCCCGTACTGGACTCTCCCCCAAGAAAGCAAAGTTGGTAGTTGTGGAAAAGTTTGTATTGCATATATGTTTTTTTTTAAAAGGCATGATTGTTCAATTTTGATGGAATACAAATAACAATGTTGAGTGATAATTAAAATAAGTATTTTCAATTCTCTTTTTCCTTTTTAGTCTTTATAATAAAGCTTTATACATCTTTTTTTCCTGTTTATTCACAAAAGAAAGGTGGTGGGAGAAGCTGTGGAAGATTCCTGAATGCATAAGGGGATGGGATGATCAGCTGAAACCCCATGTTCCTAGCCAACTCGCTTTCCAAGGTGGTGTGACTAAATCCGATCAGCTTTTCTAGAGCTGAGTGTGCCGAGTCACATTTACTATTTACTTAGTGCTTTAAAGATAACTGTTGTCATCTCTGATACTCTAAACTGGTGTTCAAATTGATTTTGTAATAAAGCCGGCTAAGCTTATTGCATGCCTTTGCCTTGCCTGCATCTTGGACTATGGGCCAAATTAAGCTTTGAAAGAAATTTAAAAATCAAAATATTTTAGCTATTGGATGTATGGGTTAAAAAAGATGGAAGCATTAGATAAGGATATTAATTTATTAATATGGATTAGGCCGTCTTGTTTACTTAGAATCATAATGAAGGTAGTATGCTAACATAGAATTAAATTTATTTAAGGAATTTTGACAAATGGTTTGCTTTTACATTTACCCATCTTAAAACCTCCAGCCATGATCTTGAATGCCTTTGTATTATGTAATGCTTTGTTTAAGTCTTCCTTTCTTTCTCTTTGTCCAAGAAATGTAACCTCACAGCTGAGGCGACGGCATCTGGGAAAAACTAGTGATCAAGAATAACCAGATAAACATGATGGGCATAAGGGTCATGACCAAAAGATTTCTCAGTGGCATCTGTATCACTAAATATTAGGATTATTCCTTCATTCAGTAGTTCTTTTTGTGTGTGTTGTTGTCGGTGTGAAAGTTAACTGAATCCTCTGTGGCCCATCTTTAAAAAGTACTGGCTGCAAGTCACCAGCTTTCCTGTGGCATGGATAGCCTGTCGTCCGAAGAACTGTTTTGCTTTTCTGAAGCATGTATGTTTGTTGTTGGGAGCTCTTTGTATCAAATTGAGGTTCACATTTTATCCTTACCTTTGGTGCTTGCCCTTTTTTTTTTTTCCTTCTAACTGGCCTGTGGAAATTATTACTGAGCCATCTAACTTTCGGTGTCAACATGTAGTTTATTGATTGATGGAACAGTGTTAACAAGTTCTACATTTGAAAAAAACTGAAGGTGATTTTGTTAGTGGATATATTGCCAGGACTTAAGATTTCTTATGGATTTTTTTGTTGTTGTTATTTACTGTTCTTTTCATAAAGGAGCAGCACCAGACTAGTCCTTACTATCGGAGATAGCTGTTGTGTCACTTCCTCATGCTGACATATTTACTAGAGGGTAAAATTCATAACCTTCTAGTAAGAGTGGCAGTCGAAGGGAAGGGCTCATCTGACTTCTGGAAACCTGTGTTAAACTATAGTGCTTTGAACGTTGATTGTGGACTCAAAGGATGGAAATGAAACTAGGGTCCAGATACACCCAAGAAAACTTTTGGTAGTTATTGTACTTTGTAAGTCACAGGAACTGTTCATATACCTCCCTGTGTTCCTTAAACAGTTGAGCTTAAATTATGTCTATTTGAAATTGAATGAAGAGAGTTTTTTTTTTCTTTCCAGAAATAGTATCTGTTTATGGCTCTAATAGCAAAGAAATTTAATAGGCTATGAGAATGATTGTTCTAACAGTGTAAACTATAAGAGAAGTTTAAAAAATAAAACTAGCTAGACCCTCAAAGGCACAGAATATGATTAATAGATTCTTATGTATCACAGTTGAAATCTTTTATGTTTTGGCTTTATGTTGATAAACCTGAAAACTTGATTTTTTATTTGTGTTGTTTTTGTTTTTGGCTGTCTTACGTAAAAGGGCATGTAGGGATGGCATTGATTATTCTAAATCATATTTATTGGAAAAGCTATTCTAAAATTTTTAATATTTACATTTTTCTTTTTAAAATAGTATTTTCATCCCAGCCTAGTGACGATGAATCAAGTAGTGATGAAACCAGTCATCAGCCTAGTCCTGCTTTTAGACGCCGCCGTGCTAGGAAGAAGACTGTTTCTAGTTCAGAATCTGAGGAACGGCTACTCCCCGAACAGGAAACTGAACCCTCTAAGGAGTTGTGTAAACGCCAGTTGAGCGGTGGTCTCAACAAGTGTGTTGTACTTGCTTTGGTGATTGCAATCAGCATGGGATTTGGACATTTCTATGGTAAGTGTTTGAAAATTTGTTACATGTAAACAAATGGTGTGTATGGGCACTTGGCTAAGAGAGGAATTCTGGGATCTGTTTTTAGTGTCATCATTAAATATACGTCCTTGGAAAGCTTGCAGTCTATTTGAGCCTCAGCTTTCTCATTTGGAAAACGGGGTAGTGCTACCTGTTTCACTCACAAAGCTGTTTTCCCTTAGGTTAGGTGGTATTTAAGAAATGTAGGGATTTTTAGCATGCATGTTTGTTTATTTTTTATTTTTTTAAAGATTTTATTTATTTGAGAGAGAGAAAGCAGAGTGAGGGAGCACAAGCAGCAGGGAGGGGTAGAGGGAGAGGGAGAAGCAGGCTCCCCGCTGAGCAGGGAGCCCCACGCCAGGACCCCAAGATCATGACCTGAGCTGAAGGCAGACGCTTAATGACTGAGCCACCCAGGTGCCCCTAAACTTTGCTTGTTATTATCCTTACTAGTGTTTATGTATATTATCTTTAATGCAAAGCCTTTAAAAGCGTCTTGGATGAAAAGGGGAAGGAATTCCATGTGGTATAATTTTTCACTGGGGAGCCTAACCAATGAGTCTTATTTAACATGTCTGTTTGTACAAAGATTAGACTGTTTGAGAACTGAACATTTCACACTCATTCACACACTCTGTATTAGAATTTTAAAAAAACACTTAAACGTTTTAGATCTTGTCAACTTTACAAATTTCAATTTGCCATACATGAAGTACTTCTAGGTTTTTGCTGATAGGATCCACAATTTAACTTTTGGAATATTCCTGTTTTGCTAGTTCCCCCTTTCAACAATGTCTTCTTGCGCAAAAATTGAAGAGTTACATGTACCCTTTGTTAATTTGTGGAAAAGATACATTAAAAACATACATAGTGTAATGTTAGAATAAACTTAAGACAATCAACACTTGTTTAAAGTCAGAGTCAGTAAAATGTATTTCTTCTTATTTAACTTTATATTGATAAAAATGAGCTTTTAGACTCCTGGTGGATGCCTGCTTGAATTTAATATTGAGATACTATAATTCGTATCCTCCCTTGAGGTTTATTGTAATGAGATTTGACTTGAAATAATATGCTTACTTTTGTTTATTATTTAGCTGGAACAAATGTATGAATGTATTTTTGAGAGTGATCTTTTTCCCCACAGGTAAACATGGAGGTAACAGAGGAGAAGGTCTCATCTTAATCTTTTTTTCTTACTAAAAAATTTGGACAGTGATTTAATGTTGATCCAGATTGCATTAAAACCCCACCAATTGCATGACCTTTAAGTATTTTGTAGAACAATGTAGAGAGGAGTGCTCTCAAAATTGAGAAATTGCTGCTCTGTTTAAGATTTTGGTTACTTGTAAAATTTAATAATAATATCTAATAAAACATTTTCCTATACTTTTAAAATTATCTTTTCAGAATATGAAAAGCCTGGGTAATATGAAATAGTTTTGCATGGTGATGAGATTGGCTCAGTGAACATATAAAAACTGTTAGTTTTTCAAGGTCACTGTTTAAAGGACGTCACGTTTTTTTCTTAATTCTGGCACTGATCTCAACACTTTAAGAGCTCCTTTGAATTGATTTCAGAGCCAGTTTGAATTTCTCTTGCACCGTGAAGTTAGTCATTGCATACTCCATAATCAATCGTTTGCTTACTAATTATTTAACAAAAACATACTATTTAAGTGAATTACTCAGAACATTCGCCAACCTCAGCTCTTTATAAATTTGGAGAATCAGATCTATCCCAGAAGGAGGGGAAAATTAGCAGGATTGAGGGAAGTAAAACAGATTACTACAGGTATTTGGTACTGCTTCAGGTACAAAAGTTAAAAAAAAAAATCTTCATGTGTGAAGCACCTGTTTTCCTGATGCTTTCTTTACATTGTAGGCTATCCATATTCTAAATCAACAGTGGAGTTCAGTTGATTCAGTTTTCTCATGGAGTTACTTTAAGTATTGATAGGCTACCGCTCTTCAGACACTGTAACAGAATATATCTACAATGCTGAGTTATGTAGCACAGAAAAGAATCATAGCTCAAAAGCTATACTTACTGTCATCCTGGAGGTGGTAGGATTTGAGCAGGGTCTGGTCTTATGCTTATGCTAGGCAGAAGGAAAGTGGAGCATTCCAGCAATGGAGAACCTGACAACCTGAAAGTAAACTTTGCTGGGTTTGGGAGCAAGGAGAAGACTGACTGGACCACAGCAGAGTAGATAAATTAGAAATAGTGGAGTAAAACGTTGGAGTGCGTGGGCTGGTGTTATGTTGTAGAACATCTTGGAATCTGGGTAAGAGTTTGATTTATAGAGTAACCTCACGGAAATTTTAGAGGAAAAGAGCAAGGAGGCATATGGTATGGGAAAAATTAAGACAGTCAGTTAAGAGCGTTTGTAATCCTACTATTTGATCCGGGCGTTTACAATTATAGTGAAGATGGGGATGGAGAGAAGGTTAGTGACATAAGGGACACTGAAGTAATGGAAAACATAACTTTGAGCCAGGTTACTTGTGATATCGGTGGTTTACTTTTTAAATTCCAAGAAGTGTGCTAGCTGCTTTATTTTTGGAATTGGGGGTGTTTCTAGGAAAGTTTTGCTAGATGATAAATAGATGGTGAACACAGTTTGGTTGTTTTTTTTTTTTTTTTTTAAAGATTTTATTTATTTGGGAGAGAGAGAATGAGAGAGAGAGAGAGAGCACATGAGAGGGGGAAGGGTCAGAGGGAGAAGCAGACTCCCTGCTGAGCAGGGAGCCTGATGTGGACTCGATCCTGACACTCCAGGATCATAACCTGAGCCGAAAGCAGTCGCTTAACCATCTGAGCCACCCGGGCGCCCCAGTTTGGTTTGTTTTTATCCAACTTTATTCTAGAATGGTTTAGGGCACGTGTTAAGGTTCGATTTTTTTCATGAAGCCTCCCTCAAAATTGTGCCCAAACAGGCAGGTGGATGTATTGGCCAGAAGCTCTGGTAAGATTGGACTCAGAAGAGAAATCTTACAGCAGTGATAACAAAAACTGGGTTTTTATGATTAAGATAGGCAGATCTGTAGACATGACAAGAAGGCCAAAGATTGTACCTTGGGTGGTAATACTTTATAGTTAGGCAGCTAAAGATGTAGGGGAAAAAGCCCCAATAGTTATTAGATAAAGGCCACAGAGCCAATATATGTTATGTGATAGTACTGCAAATTCAGATCTCAACACATAGTTTTAGGTTATTTTCCAAGGGGTAAAGGAATTCATCCTGTCAGCAGTTTGAAAAGAAAGAGGTTTTCTGTTATTCTGGGAACTGAAAATGAATTTTCAACATTTAAAAAAATCTGAGATTCTTTTGAGTAATATTGAGGACAAATTTGCCATGCTTTTATAAATTGGAAAATTGAAAGAGAGGAAGTGAACCTTAACAAAAGAGTATCATAGTTGGTAACAGTTTGTAATTTGGCAAAAGTTTTCTTTAGTGTTTTTCAAGATTACTGAAGAAATTGAAAGTTAATTTTTTTTAGTAGTAGGGGAAGAAATAGTAAGCTATCATTACATCCTTTCATTACAAAATCCTGTGATATCTTAATAATAATAGTATGCCACTTGGTAGATGTTAAGGTCAAGGTTGCCAAATGCCTTTTGCCTTATTTTTGATTCAGTGTGTGTGGTTTTTTTTTTTTTTCCCTCTCTCATGCATGAAGCATGTAGCAGCATGTAAACAGCATGTCTTGGCAAATTAATATTTTAGTTTTTAGGGTGAAAATATAGGGAATCCTAGTTGGTTTAAGATTTATCACCGCAGGGATGGGGGTGATGGTACTCTAGTACAGACCTAACTAATGCAGAACTCTTAAACGATTTGGCTGTGAGAATAGTGAGTAATCACAGCCAGTTTTTTCCTTGTTGTACTTTATGGGCTGTGTTACATCATTTGCTAGGCAAAATATAGTGAGAAAAAAGAGACATTCTTATTTTTCCTTATTGACTTACATCCTGTCAATAGATTCCATGGTTTGTTTCTTTCCCTGTTGAAGACAACACTTTATGTACCGCAACAATCTCTCAAAAACAACAAACTTGAGTGCCCTCGATACAGTAAGATTAAAAATATTATATAAGCTTTTTTAATTTTTTTAAGAGTAACGTAGGTTGGCTTGTTTTAGTCTCAAGGATCGTGAACTGCTTAAATGTCCCTTGGTGTATGCTAAATAAAAAAATGTATATATATTAACCTACTTGGACTGATTTATATTAACATCCATCCACCACCATTTGATGAATGACACCATAAGATTTTACTTAATCTTTTGTTTATATAATCAGAGTTTTTATAGAACTGTGAAATGCTGGCCTTAAAATGATCCTATCCAGATTAATCAATTAAATATATACAGATTAAATGTTTTATTATATATTTTAAAATATTGGTCACCATAACATTTCTCATATATGTGTGTGTGTGTGTGTGTGTATCCCTAATAAAAATTTTCATTTTTCAGGCACAATTCAGATTCAGAAGCGTCAACAGTTAGTCAGAAAGATACATGAAGATGAATTGAATGATATGAAGGATTATCTTTCCCAGTGTCAACAGGAACAAGAATCTTTTATAGATTATAAGGTGTGTACTACTAACAAACTTTATAAAAAAGAATTGTTAGCCAATAATTATTGGACTGTTCAGATACAAGTACAAAGCAGATTAGTGAGTCAATAACAATAATGCTATAATTGTTGATTACTTACTGTGTCCAAGTACTTCACATTCAGTATTTCTCTTATTGCTTACCATAGCCCGTGAATTAAGCAAGTATTAGCTTCGTTTCATAGATAGGAAAGAGGTTCAAAAAAGTTAACTTTTCAGGGCACATGGGTGGCTCAGTTGTTAAGCGACTGCCTTCGACTCAGGTCATGCCCAGGGTCCTGGGATCGAGCCTCGCATTGGGCTCCCTGCTCAGCAGGAAGCCTGCTTCTCCCTCTCCCACTCCCTCTGCTTGTGTTCCCTCTCTTGCTATGTCTCTCTCTCTATCAAATAAATAAATAAAATCTTAAAAAAAAAAAAAGTTAACTTTTCCGAGGCTAGCAATTGGCAAAGCTGAATTTATCTGACTTCAAAGATGTTATTTCTAACTACTATAATTAACATTATTTTTAATTAATAATATATATAGAAAACATTATTAACATTATTTTTACAGAACTAGCAAAACATTTTCAGTCTGTGAGAAAAAGGAGAGTTTGTAGCCTCTCTCTAAGATCTTTCCCTGATCAAGGGAAATAATCAGCCAGTACTTTTTCTTCAGTTTCTTGTTGGGTCTGATGGAAAAGAGAGCATGTTATACTTGCCTCCCTGAATTCACATAATACCAGCAGGACTGTGCTGTCCATTAACACCTGTGTGGGTTTATGAGGACCAGTGTAATTGCTGGTCTCCTCTCTGGTTCTTCACAAGAAGGGTATGGGGCTTGTAGATAAAACTCAGGGTAGAAAAGTAAACAGTTCCTTTTTCCTTCCATTCCCCCAAATTTCCCTCACAATTGATGTATTCCTTATAGGGTTATGATTATATTTCTTTAAAAGACAGAATCCCACTTGACATCTGTATTATGTCTTTTTTCAGGCTGGGACTACTGAAGTTATTTGTAAATAGTGTAGTTTTTCCTACCTTGATCAAAGGATGTTACAAAAAGAGTAGGCATTTTCTTCTTCACCACCATGGTTTCTGGTTCCATAGGATAATGTTGGCTTTTAGGAGACTGACTCTGCATAGATCTCTATTGAGTCAGTTCTTGTAGGCCTTTTACCTCCAGCTATTAAATGTGGTTTGGATTTTGAAGCTTCATGGGAGACCTGCCAGGATTTGCTTATCAGGCACTTCAAGATTATGAAGTTTACTGAATGCAGAATATACCCTCTAGTCATTCTGTGGTCCTTGTGCTTTTGCATTTAAAGATAATGCTACATTAGTCTGTACTACTCCATGGTCCACTTCTTTTATTTATTTATTTATTTATTTATTTATTTATTTATTTATTTATTTATTAATTAACATATAATGTATTCTTTGTTTCAGGGGTACAGGTCTGTGATTCATCAGTCTTACACAATACACAGCGCTCACAACACATACCCTCCCCAGTGTCCATGGTCCACTTCTGTTGGGTACTCGAAACTTGTTTTCTCTCCAGATGAAATGATTATAATGAAATTTTTAAAACAAATTTCTTTAGAAAGAGACAGTACGAGCGGGGTGGGGGGGGTGCGCAAATGGCAAGGGAGAGAGAGACTCCTAAGCAGGCTCCACGCTCAGCCCCAACTCGAGGCTCAGTCTCAGGATCCTGAGATCATGACCTGAGCCAAAATCGAGTTGGATGCTTAACCGACTGAGCCACCCACGCACCCCTGATTATTGTGAAATTTTAAATTTTAATTCGTTCTTTGACGACTAATGAACCAGATGGTGAACTATCCATTTCAGATGGTTATTTTCAAGTGGAAATACTGTCATTTTACTAAAGGACATTTTTCTTTTGTTTCTATATATCCGAATTTTTGGTCTGATTCAAATGGGATAACTGTAATGTCTGTGGTAAATTAAGTAAAATTGCTGATTTATATATATAAGGTATTTTAACTGACTGGATAATAGCTATAACCATTAGCCTATTTAAGCATATTGTTTAGTTTCTTTCTGTTTTGGTGAAAGTTTGTTACTAATATATATGTTGAAAGAGATATTCAGGGCTATTTTGAAATGCAGCAAAATTTTGTAAACTAATTGAACATGGTTTCCTCTCTTTCAAGGGTGCTTACTTCAGAGTTACATTGCTAATCTGGTGATATTCTCTTCAGAAAATTACTTGAAATCGGAGAAATTAGTTATAAATGTTACCAAGATTCAGTCCTCTAAGAAGTGCTGAGAGAACTTGTAGGACTTAGCTGAACTTACTTTGGGATGTTAATTTGCACAGGGTGAAGATCTTTCAGATAGGACTAAGATTATTGAAGTGTTTTCCTTTCAAAGAGTGCCGAGAATATAAATAGAATTTTTTGAATCCTCAGGTCATCTCTAGCTTATAATTTTCCTTTTTATAAAAGATCATCTCCTTCACCCAAGGGTCAGAGAAGCCTTTAGTCCTGCCTAAATTCTCTTTAGGAGACTTCTCAGGAGAGAGTGGAGTTCTGTAGTCAGAAGATAGACCGGTCTCCTTTTCTCCTGACTTGTAAGTGGGCCTAGAAACCGTTAAGGCTTTCATATGATTATGGAAAATAATCAGTAATCACTAATAAACACTAATCAGAAGTACCCCTAGCTCTATTTTAGAAATCTTACTAGGGATAAACCAGGCTCTAGCTCATTTTTTCCAGTGTTTAAATGCTTCCAGCGTGCTGTTGTTATTTTGATGTAGCTCTGTGCTGTGCACTTTCTTGCATATGAACCTTGTATTTTCTGAAATTTATGTATTGAAATATATATATATACTCTACAAATATATATATATACTGTATAAAGGATAGTCTCTGCAGAAATAGATACTAAAAATTTATGAGTATTGGTTACATAGGATTATGTCTTAAAGATTTGAATTGAGCTTTTAAATGAAGCATTTGACATTCTTCTTCTCTCTCAAAAAATTTAGTCTTTGAAGGAAAACCTTGCAAGATGTTGGGCCCTTACTGAAGAAGAGAAGACGTCCTTTGAAACTCAGAAAAAGAACCTTGATACAGAAAATCAGTATTTAAGAATATCTCTGGAGAAGGAAGAAAACGCCTTATCTTTATTACAGGAAGAGTTAAGGAAACTAAGAGAACAGATTAGGATATTGGAAGATAAAGGGACAGGTACTGAATTAGTCACAGAAAATCAGAAACTTAAGCAGCATCTGGAAGAAGAAAAGCTGAAGACACACAGCTTCCTTAATCAGAGGGAGACTCTTTTGGCAGAAGCAAAGATGCTAAGGAGGGAACTGGAGAGAGAACGACTAGTAACCATGGCTTTAAAGGTGGAACTCCAGCAGTTAAGCTCTAGTGAGTCATATGGCAACCCAGACTCTCCCAATGTATTGACTGAAAAAAAGGAAATAGAAGTCTTACGGGAAAGACTCACTGAGCTGGAGCAGAAGCTAAACTTTGAACAGCAGCGTTCTGATTTGTGGGAAAGACTGTATATTGAGGCAAAAGATCAAAATGCAAAACAAGAAACCGATGGAAAAAAGAAAGGGAGCAGAGGAAACCACAGGGCTAAAAATAAATCAAAGGAAACATTTTTGGGTTCAGTTAAGGAAACATTCGATGCCATGAAGAATTCTACCAAGGAATTTGTGAGGCATCATAAAGAAAAAATTAAACAAGCTAAAGAAGCTGTGAAAGAAAATCTGAAAAAATTTTCAGATTCAGTTAAATCCACTTTCAGGCATTTCAAAGATACCACCAAGAATATCTTTGATGAAAAGGGCAATAAAAGATTTAGTGCCACAAAAGAAGCAGCAGCTAAAAAACCAACAACAGTCTTTAGTGAATATTTACACCCACAGTATAAGGCACGTACACAAAACCAGAATAAAGGCCCTACTCTGCAAAGAGAGGGAAGGAAAGAAAAGCCAATTCACTTTGAAGAATTTAGAAAAAATACAAATTCACAGAAATGCAGTGCCCAGCATGACTGTAGTGAAAATTATGATTCTTTCAGAAAGTCTTGTTCTGGTGTATTTGAATGTGCTCAACAGGAATCCATTAACCTTTTTAATATGAAAGTGTTGAGTCCCGTAAGGATAGATGAATTTAGACAGTTAATTGAAAGGTATTTATTAGAACAACTGGATAGTTTTCATCATTGGAAAGAACTTGATCAATTCATCAATAAGTTTTTCCTAAATGGTGTCTTTATACATGATCAGAAGCTCTTCACTGACTTTGTTAATGATGTTAAAGATTATCTTAAAGACATGAAGGAATATCAAGTAGATAATGATGGAGTGTTTGAGAAGTTGGATGGATATATATATAGACACTTCTTTGGTCACACTCTTTCCCCTCCATATGGACCCAGGTCGGTTTACATAGCACCATGTTACTATAATAGTATTTAACATTTATAGATTGGGTAGCATTTTTATCATTTTAACATCTTGGAATGTTACTATCCTTAAAGTACTTTTTGTAAAGGAAAAAAAAAAAGTGCTATTTGTAAAAGTACTTTATTGCCAGAGAATTTAGAATAAAGTTGAAAGATACAATTTTAAGTTAGTAGCTACTACAAACTGAAAATTTCACATGATCAGTTTGACTTGAGCAAATAGATTAATTTCTGCCTTAAAAATGAGCTAAGTATATGCAAATCTTCCTTTAGCCTCTTGTTTTTCATTCTAGTTTATACGAAAAGATAATCGTTTTAAGTGAAATGATTTTTCTTTGGTCTTTTATTTATTTACTCACTTTGGGAAGCTAGGATGAACGATACAGATTTCACTCTGAAATCGGAAGAGCTCATAGGTAACAATTTGGATTGGCCCCCTTATTTGTCTATTCCATTTACCAACTAAATTATGATACTTAGTACAGTTACTATACAATTATTGTTCATAAAGGTAGAGGCAAACTTAGTAAGCCACAAGTTATAATGTGTGTGCTTTATATACATAATTCCTAAAAATAACTATCTATTGCTTATCAACTTTATATTCTGTAACATGAAACTCGCCTAATCTTCAAATGTTAGCTTTATTTTTTATCTTTGAGTTATATTTATCTTTTTTGAATAAATGTAATGTGTCTATAAAATAATGAGACTGATTCTGATGTCTTCAGTCTTTAAATATCTGGTGCCTACATGAGCACATTGTGAGGCTGCCCTGACAAAACATGAAAAATTCTTGCCATCAAGGAGCTCACAAGCTTTTGGAGAGTTAGGTAAATGAAATGAAATGGAGGTATTGGAGGCACATTGTGTATGGCGGCCTCAGCCTGGAGATGTTTGGGAAGGCTTCAGGAATGAGGTGGTCTTTGAACTGAACTTTAAATTGGTTTTTGAAGGTGAACTGGGAGTTTGCTAAGCAGATAGAGTAGGACATTCTCTCTCAAAGAGAACTTCATTTGCGTAGATTTGGAGATGTGAAGACAGGCCACTTTAAGGAGGCAAGGTAGTGCTGGGGTATGAAAAGAAAAGATACAGATCTTTTGTGAAGATCTGAAGGACCTCATTTTGTGCTAAAGGACTTGCCTCATTGCATTTTGGATCACTGGCAACAGCGTGGAGGGTTGGTTGGAAAGAGTGAAGCTAGAAGCTAGCCGGTGGTCTTTGAAAAAATAGACATGAGCTGATGAGTATCTGAACTAGGGTAATAGTAGGAGTGGGAAGGAGACAGATTTGAATAATATGTAATAAGTAAAATTAGTGGTATTTCTTGTGAAAGAGAAGTAGAAAGTAACAATTGCAGTTTTCAGGGTTGGGTCATTAGTTGGTTACTGGCATCACTAAGATAAGGGATACCAGATGTTTTGGGTAAGGGGAATTGGAAAAGAGAATTGTGCTTGTAGGTACCTATTGACAGCCAAGTGTAAAGAATTAGTTGGCCATTAGTTACAGGACTCTTTCTAGCCCAGACTGTGTGTGTGTGTGTGTGTGTGTGTGCACGCACGTATAGATCGTCTAGGCTGGGGGTGTTTTATCAGACTCCTGGGGCACACTAACACCTATGGGGTTGTAGAGAAAGAAGGCTGAGAATACCAGAGTGTGGTGGCAAGAAAATCCAAAGATCATCTCAAGTGAAAAGAATATATGTGTGTCAAATGCTTTAAACATTAAACAAGAGACTGGATTTCTTGGTTGGGGAATTGGGTGGCCGTGAATGGCATTATGGACTGTTTCAGTGAGGTAGTGACAGAAGCAGCCTGATCATACGGAGTTTGAGGAAGGCAGTAGAAATAGACCTTGTTTATGAACCTTAGCTGTGGCTGTGGGAGAGCAAAAAGAAAGAGACTTTCTTTAGTTTGTAAGAGATACATACATATTCCAGCTGAGGGATGAAGCCAATGGGGAGGGATTGATTTTGAATGAGAAGAGAAATAATGGAAACACATCTCATTATTTTATTGTCACATTTTATTTAATCTGTTGAGTATTTCCCCTTTTTGCCACTACAGTATGTTTGTCTATTTTTTCTGTAGGATAAAATTATAATACTGAATCTTTTTGGTATGGTTGTTAGGATTATACTTCAGATTAATTTAACATCCTTTTTCAGAGTGTTCAGATAATAGATTAATGGAGAAAAAAACATTAAAATTGTTTCTTGTTTAAATTTAACTCTAACATAGATGAAAAATGTGTTTACTGCTTTCAGTCGACCAGATAAAAAGCAACGTATGGTAAATATTGAAAACTCCAGGCATCGAAAACAAGAGCAGAAGCACCCTCAGCCACAACCTTATAAAAGGGAAGGTAAATGGCATAAATATGGTCGCACTAATGGAAGACACATGGCAAATCTTGAAATAGAATTGGGGCAGTTACCTTTTGACCCTAAATACTGATCATCATGATTAAGTTCAATTAGAAAACGGTAACAGAAACATGGATGCTTTCTACAATGTTTGGTGTTGAAACTAAAATGAAATTATCAAGATAATGTCTATCATTTCTAAGTATCAATTTGATGACTATTATTCAGAAGCATCAAGCAAAAGCTTACTAACTTGCATTTTCCTTGTAGTTTAGCTTTGCTGAATTTTTTTTTGGCACTGGAAATGTTCAACTGTAGTTTTAAGGAAGCCGGGCATGCAACAGATTTTGTGCATGAAATGAGTCTTCCTTTCAGCATATGAGCTTAAAGCAAGCTCAAATCATATGACAAAGTGTAATTAACACTGATATTTATGTTAAATTTGCAGTAGAGCTTGAAAAAAGAACATTGTGATGGAATTTCATCTTTAACATTTTATAATCTTACACTTGCTTCTTGTCTTTTTTGTGGGTTCAAGAGCCCGTTGACTTGTGAAGAATTTGCTGCCTTCTTATGAGCTTGCTGACTTGTTCTCTTGTGAAATTTCTTGCACATCTGAATATTGTGGAAGAAACAATAAAACTACACCATGAGGAAAACTAAAGGTCTTTATTTAAAATCTGGCATTTGTATTAATATATTTTATACTTTGTGATATTTTTCATACATTTCCTCAGTAGTGATATTTGGTAAAGCAGTTCAGTGGTTTTTTGCTAGTTCCACAAGTCTTACCCAGTGTTTACAGGCATATTTATGCAGCATTTGAATGTCTGTACCCAGCAATGTCTATTTCTTTAGGAAAGATTTAAACACAGTTCAGAATTTCATCTTCTATTGAGTGTCCCCTTTAATTTCCGTTCGTAGACATATATGTGACTTCCAGTTTGACCTTCTGGCAAGTGAGTGTGGAAGAACACAGCAGTTCTCTCATAGTTGCTTGAAATTAGGAAAGCACTTATTTCCTAGAAGTAAATAAATGTTTTAAGTAAATAAAGGCTACATTTTCTGAGTACTGTTTCAAGAATTTTAGAATGACCTGATTTGTGCCTCTACCACTTTTTTTCTTAATAAAACTATAGTTTAATCAGTTAATTTTAGAGAGTGAGAGAGAGCACAAGTCGGTGGGGAGGGGCAGAGGGAGAGAAAATCTCAAGCCGACCCTGCACTGAGCACGGGGCTCGACACGGGGCTCAATCTCATGACTGAGATAACCACAAGATCACGACCTGAGCTGAAACCAAGAATCAGACACTTAACCAACTGTGCCATATAGCAATATAGTTTCTTAATAAAAGAATTAACTCATGGTAAGTAACATATATATCTTGGTAGTTATAGAACTGGGATGGATTTTGACCAGGGAAAATAACCAATTACAAAATACGGGGCTTGAAAGGGACCATAAAAAAGTTATGTTGTCTGTTTACCTGAGTGCTAAACTGGAGGTGAAATAGTGAGTTTTCCCCTTTTTCATGTTTCCTTACCTCCTCTAAAATGCTGAAGATGATCAAGTGAGTAGGCAATGTTGAATCATTGTGAAACTCTTTATCTAGCCAGTTTAAGGGATTCAGATAGAATATATCTGCTTCATCAAGGTACTGACTTTTTCCAGTCAGATCTGGGGGACATTGGAGAAATCTCATTGGAAGTGGGTAGTGGACATGGCTGTAAAGAGAAAGTTACCATTATAGTTACATGAAGTTAAAATGGTGAAAGTTTTCCAATTACTCTCACGATTTACCATGTTCACATAACAAAATGTGAAGTCTGAATCTAAACTGGGTCCCATTAAGGTTAAGAAGCAAGCCTTTAATGTAGTTTTCTCAAAGATGTACGATAGGATTCTTAGACCATGTGCCTGCGCAGCAGCAACATAACCTTCAAGTCCAAACTAATGCATGAAACTCCATTTCAAGGTGGGATAGGAAGTCAGCAGTGTGGGAGACCCCGTATTCTCCAACCTTAGTATGCTTTTCCAGGAAAGGCCTGAAGTGGGTGACTTACTAATGAGAATAATTCTCCATAGGCTTAATTGGCAAGGTAGAAAACTTCATGCACCAGAAAGGATTCTTGCTTTCTTCCCTTTCTGCTCTAAAGGGATGGATCACATCTTTGAAAGGTTGTTCCTGTGTGGGTTTTGTTGTTGTTCTATATTTATATAAATAGATTGAGTAATAGCATATGTTCACTGATTCAAATCCAAATAAGTAATGGTTTTATTGTGGCACAGAAAGACTAGACTGCAGTAAAAAAGATGGACTGATGAATTACGACAACTTAGTTACTTGGGCCCTGCAAAAGCATGTTTATAACTGCCGAAGGAAAAATACACACGTGATAGAGGTTTATGTTATCTATGAACTGCATACAAAGTGAATTTACACAAGACCTAACACTTGACGACTTGTATAATTTAGGAGAGGAAGGTCTTGCTTCAGGGAGAAAACCCAAACAAGCTGAGAAAACAGCTGTAAGCTTTCTACTCCAAAGTAGGCATTAGAGATTTTTTTTGCTCCATTGTGCAGTTTGAAAAATATAAGATGAGAACTTGATGAACTACTCAAAGCGGAGACATCAACTATACAACCATGTACGGAAAGCATCTTGATGCCTCTAGAATTCCTGTTCTCTGCCGTGTTACTGCTAATGTGAGCGTGGAGGGAGAGTGAGCGTCCTGCTCTCAGCTCTAGTCTTTTTTATATAGTAGGTGAACCTCAATTTAAAGGGATATTTGGGTCTGACATCTAACCTGTGGCTTTTGCTAGGCAGTCCCAACTTTCCAAAGTGTGTATTAATGATTGGCATTAATGATTCAGTTAATTTAACGCTTTTGCAAAACTCTACTTATCTTAAAATGATAACAGCTTTGATATTCAGTTAATTGAATGTGCACATGGAAAATTAACTTCAGACTGTTTAAAGCCAGGTTAAGTAGACATAGAACTTTTTCAAGGAAAGCAGTTTGCTTTACCCTTGTACTGTTGTTATAGGACCAGATGGATTTCTTTTTAAACGTCCTGCATAGTTAAGGCAGTTTTAGTGTTGTATTTCTCAGAAATACTTAATTCAAGCATTAGAATATCATCTAATTGAATTTCCTAATTTTTATAGGTGAAACAACTAATATAAAGAGAGATTCAAAGAAGACTGGTTTAAGACCAGGGCAGTGGTCCAGCAGTAAATGTGGAGTAGAATCTAGTGTTTTGAGATTAATAAAAAATTTTAAAAATAGAAGATATATTACAAAGATTTGTAGTAAGCTCAATGATAATTTCTTTTAATATGGTTACCTTCAAATAACCTATAAAATATTTTATATTACATTTAAAGCAGATCATTTAAATGTAAGTCATTCACATTTTTAAAGTTTATTTAAAAGTGGTATATGATTTTTATTGACATACTTCAAATGGCTTTTAAAATTCAGTGAATATATATGGATAGAAGTTTCAGATTTCTTAGTTATTTGATCAGTTATCAATTAAACTCAGGAACCTGAAAGGAATTTTAAAGTAGTTCGTTTCATTTTCTTAATAGCATATAGTGGAACAACTTTTATTACCTATAATAAGGAGTAGAGTGGCAAGGCATCATTATAAATACTGAAGCTGGAGATTTATTGGGATTATTGTAACAGAGTTCTTGAATATAAGTCATGACATCAAGAGTACCCCGTTGATGAACTAAACCAGTATAGAGGGCGAGGAGCATATTCGATAAAAACAGAAAACTGAGAGCTGGTTTCTTCCACGTTTTCAGGTGGTTTAGTGAGTACCCTGTAGGAAGATAGACATGGTGAACCATAATACTGGCATTCTTGTTTTAGGATAGCTAAGTAAATGTTAACTGCAAATACATTTGTAATCTTTAATGAAAGTAGCACAAACTGAAATGGTGTCATGGAGAAACAAGAAATAAGCAATAGGTATCTTTATAATTTCTCTAACCATTCACTGTCATTGTCCTCAGGTCTTTATCTTTTTCTAGAAAAAAGAAGGATAGTGGAAAAAGAATGGCGAAGGAGTCCAACAAACCCAAATTTGAATTCTAACTCTGGCACAGGTTGCTTTCTTTACTTTGCTGAGCGTTACTTTCCCCATCTGCAAATGGGATAACAGTAACTTTTCCAAGTATTAGAAAAAACTTAACATCCCGTGCTTGTCCTGGTACATAGTAGTTCATTTATCTGTCTCTTCTCTTTAATCTCCCAAGCACTAGCAATGGATGGTGTACATATAAGTCTCCATAATTCTGGAGGAAGTGTGGCAGAGTGTCCTCTTAGAAAAATACACCACTGAGAGATTTTCAGTAGTTACCCATGCCACCATACATAGAGTATCTTTTTCTGAAAGAAGTATGTCTTGTCTTTCACTACAGTGTTGGGCAATTTGGAGATGCTGAACAATTTCTTTTTTAATTTGTAAAAGTAATTCTTGCATGTGGCAAAAAAACAAGCAGAACAAATAGAGTAACTGAAAAGTAAAAGTTCCCACCCCCTTCCCATAGTCCTCCTCCCCCACAGTAGTCACTGATAATGAGCACATAAGGATCTGTTGAAAATACCCATAAAAAGCAGCCCTTTGCATTGGAAAAGAATAAGCTTATTAATGAACTTGACATTTTGTTCATACTCCACATGTACTGTCTCCAGATAATTGTTCTTTTGGAATTTGAGTATCCAGGATCCAGTCTGTGGCCTGCCTGAAATTTTAGCACTAATTCCCACTGGGGCCAAGGTACTGTTTTCCATGATCACCACCTAATTGACTGCTATCAGCTGTCTTAGCTTGGTTCAATCACTGAAAATAATTGAACATGAATAAAATTAATTTTAAACTGTTCCCGTTTAAAGACACTAAACATAAAGTTGGCCTAGGAGGGACTGTTTCAAAAACAGGAGTAAATTAAGACCTGTAATTTACTTGAATCACATCTAGTACTTCACATTAACTGAAGACACTCATTCTTTCAACTTACCATTGTCATAAATTAAAAAGACAGTATGTATTAACATTCAGTTTAGGAAAAACTGGATACCTTTTGTTGTACACTTAAATGTATCTTAATTAGGTATGGTGCCTTTACAGCTCTTTTATCTGTCTTCATTGTTTTGAAGATTATAAATAATATATTGTATATAAATAATATATAATAATTGAAAATTTAGCTATTGAAAATAATAAAATATTTCATCTATTCCAACACATCTGAAACCTGCCACTTGATAGCTGAACCAAATTTGGCCAAGAAATCTTACATGCTCAATTTCGTTCCTCCAGGAAATGTTTTAGATAACATTACCTATATAGTTCATTCTATTCATTTGTTGGAATATCACACATCCCTCTCACTACTACTTGAAGTAGCTGATTAGCCAAAACACATTCTAAAAAGTAGTGTGATAAAAAATGTAGGAAGATCAAGAAAACTAAACCTACATTTAAAATATATCTAAATTTATGTTTGCAGTAGCAAAATGAGGAACCTACTAAAAGTTTGAGAACTAGAATTAGCTTTATTAGAATGGAAATAGAATTCCAGAAGTTCTCTTATATGTAATATCCAGTCACAGAACTAATAGACCAGCAAGCTTAAAAGCTGTGC